CTTTCCAACAATTCACTAAAAATGTTTTTATGAAGTATTCTATTTTATGTTCTTATGAAGTATTCTAATTTGTTGAGATTGTGAATTGGTGGGTTTTTGTTAAATGTGAGCCAAAATCATCACAATTAAAAGAACCAAAGACTTAAACTACTTCAGTCTGTGTGCATTGAATTTATTTAATACACGAGTTTCACAATTTGAGTTGAATTACTGAAATAAATGAACTTTTCCATGACATTCTAATTTATTGAGATGCACCTGTATATAACACTTAATATTTAATCATTTTTAATTGCATTTAATATTCAAATTATAATTACATGTATTACATTTTTATTTTACTAAATAATTTACATTTAATTCATTAATTAATGTAACTAATTAATTTGTTAAATTACATACAATAAGAATAGTAATATAATAGTAATTAATATTTAATCAAAAAATGAATTCATGAAATATATATATACAGTGGGTACGGAAAGTATTCAGACCCCCTATATATATATATATATATACATATATAGGATTATAAAGTAGTATATTAGAAGTATCAACAGTAATAATATTAATTTAAATTAATTTTTAAATATTTATTTTTAATTCATACAAAGAAGATCAAGAAAAGCTCAGTTTCTTAAAATCTGACACTTCAGTTCATGTACATCAACTTGATGAATTCACAGCCACTGACCCAGTTTTTCTGTTTGGCTAAACCTTTACACGGTATGTAGACTAATACGTTTCTCTTGATGACACAGTGGATTTATTAGGCTTACATCTTGAGATCTCTCTGAAGCATCTTGAGATCAGTGAAAAGCCCTTGTGTCTTCATTTTCTGTATTCTCGGCCCAGAGCTAATCAGCTTTCTTTCAACAACACAGGCTTGTGCCTAAAATAGATGCCCTTCTTCAAACCCGGGGCACTTTACTCGGTTTCCCAGCCTGAAATACGGCCCTTGTGTGTCAGGTTGATTTTGGCTCAATTAAGGCTGTCTGTCATTTAAAGCAACTTCTGCTAATTGCTGATTTGCTCAGCTGAAGTGATTATGCTGAAAGAGACATTTTCAAGAGAAAGAGAGTGCGCGTTTTGTTTTGAGTTTAAGGATGAAACTTCTTGTTTTGATGGATGCGGATTAAAAATAACTCACTTTTATCTCTGGAGCACATTAAGGTCTCTGACTTCAGCGTGCATCATCCTTATGTGATGCAACCATTTACAGTTTACCTGAACACTGCATCCTATTCACAGGTCATTGTTTTGTCCTCATTGAAAGCAAAACGCTGTTTGATGCAGTAGAATTACAGCCAACCGGACAAAAACTGTTAGTGATTAAATCACCTGAAATTGCTGTTTCTCTGTTTTCTTGCTGATGTTTCCTTTTTAAAACAAACTTTTAAGATGTTCATTAATACCCAGCTAACAGGCAAGGTTCTCAGAATTTCTCAAAGTTATGAACAAACGGTTTTCCAGTAACGTTAATAGAATGTTCGTTCAATCTTTACAGTATCTGATCTTTAATCATTCTCAAAACGTCAGCACAAAAACATTATTTATACATCATTCATGGAATGTTTTTTTCTGAAATGTTTCAGTTGGATGTTCGTCTAATGTGTTTTAAATGTTACCATTTGTTTTAGAATGTTCAGAGAACATTCAAAAGTAACATTTCCATGATGTTTCAAAAATGATCAAATGGAATGTTCCCTAAACGTTCGGATAACCAACCTTTCAAAACATTTCAGAACATGAGAAGTAACGTCTTTGTAACATTATCAAAACATTCTCAGAACATATTTTTGTTAGCTGGGTAGCAGATCAAATTTTCTCCTGTTTTTCTCTTCGTTTAGTTTGTGAAGAGTATCGGTTTGAACAGAAAGCCCTTCCAACTGATCGGCACGTCCATGGGAGGAAACGTGGCTGGAGTTTATGCCTCCCGTCACCCGTCTGATCTGTGCGGCGTCACGCTCATCTGTCCAGCAGGTCTGTTCTTCTTGTGTTTCTGACCGTCTCATGCCTCTTCAGCAGCACAATCATCCTGTAATAGCTCATCAGCAACACTTCAACATTTGGAGTAAATGACCCATTCCCTAGCAATGTCTGGAATCAGTGTATTTCAGAAGGTTACTTCTGAAACTGGGTTATTATAGTTAAGTAAAGCTAAAACAAATCAAAAATATTACTTTAAAATAAACACTAACTGAAATAAAATGTAAAAAATACATACGAAAACACTTAAACCTATTTTATTTTAGCTACTTGCCAAAGCAACATTTGACATTTTCATTTAGTTTAACTTGACTAAAAAAACTTAAAATTAAAACTGAATGAATAAAATAAAATAAAATCTATATAAATATAAATTAAAACAATAACTAATGTCAAAAACACACAACAAAATTACTAAAACTTTAAATTTAAAATGAAAATGGAAAATATGAAAATATTTTTAAATTAGAATAGTATCACAGTGATACTAAAATAACACTGTTCTTATTTTCCAACCTCATGCCTGCATTAATATCCCATGACATGTACTTTGTACCAAGGAAAAAATGTTGATGAGGCCAGTGTAAGTGAAAACAATAAAATACTGATAAAGAATGTAAGAGGTTACTTGATTGTGACTTTCTTGATTAAATAAGATGTCAGGTAGATAAAAACATTATTTTCAAAAGTCACAGAATAGATCATGAGCAACAAAAACAAATTCTGCATTTTCCCCTCAAAATACATAAACCATTTTAAAACAAAATTGATATAGTTTGCATGACATTACAAAACTATATATGACCCTGGGCCACAAAAGCAGTCTTAAAGGCACAATATGTAATTTTCGCCGCTAGAGGGCGCGTATTCAAAATAAACAAAGAAACAAAGGCGTAGTTTGATGAGGCTGTGTCGCTGGGGTATATTTGTAGCAATAGCCAAAAAAATATTGTATGGGTCAAAATTATTAAAAATATATTATATATATTAATATTATATATTATTATATATTTTTTTAATGCCAAAAATCATTAGGATATTAAGTAAAGATCATGTTCCATGAAGATA